TCATTCTAATTACCTAAAACCAAAAAAAAAAAAAAAAAAGAGAAAAAATAATTAATTTTCCTTTTTTGGGTCTTATTAATTATTAATAAGGTAATAATTCCAAATATTTAGGGCATATTAATTAATTTTTACCTGCATCATATCACCAATATTGACAATAAAAGTGTTGGGAATGGGGTTGACAGCAACCCACTTGCCATTTCTAAGGACCTGCAATCCAGGCACATCATCTTGGAGAAGGATGGTGATTAGGTTACAATCTGTATGTCCAGGCAATCCATATGTAAGCTCTGGTTCTGGACAGGGTGGATAGTAATTCAAAGCCATATGCTGGCCTTGCTTGCCTAATGCCTCAACAATATAGTTCTTTTCTAAGCCCAAGCTTTCTGATATGGCCCCAAGCAATCTTAGTACCAGCCCTCTCACACTTGTGCAATACTCACCCACTTGCTCCCTTGTGGACAAAAAAAGTGCCAGATCATCAGTTTTGTGACCCAAATTTAATTAATTAGAAGTGAATGAGTTTGAGTATGTATGTTGGATATAAGCGATATTGGGGAGTTGGGAATCAAACACATGACCTCGTATGAATGAATAAATACTCTTAATCACTTGAGTTACAAGCTCATTGCGAGTATTAATTAGCATAAGATGGTGATCAATTGACAGAAAAGGCAAGAACCCTTTTTTTACCTGAATGATGGGGGATTGTTAGGCCATTCTTGGACATAATCTTCAAGAGGGTAGCAATGGAGTCTCAGAAAGTCCCTCCAGTTGGAAAGTTTTTCAGTCCTGACATTGAAACTAGTGGAAAGCCTTGTGGTCTTTGAAGGGTCATCTGAGTACATCTTCAACCTTTCACTCTCTGGCAACTTGAAAAACTTTCTTGCTATACTTGACATGTCTTTGATCATTTCCTCTGGCACCCCATGATTTTTCACCTGATAAATATAAATGGGTTGGTCCATATTTTTGTTTACTCATTCATTTATGTAAACATGCAGTGTGTGTAAGAATTATCAATGAAATAATGGGATATATTAATATACCTGAAAGAAACCATCAGTTTGGCAAGCTAGGCCAATCTGTTTGATAATATTAGAGTGGTTGTGGCCATGGAGGTCCTTGAGATCAATGAGAGGAATGGAGGAGGCATCTGATATCTGAACATCACGGAGATTTGGACGGTCAGAGATGGGCCTAACGTAGTTTGAGGGGACATGGTTCACACCGGACATGAGGTCTGTTAGCAGTAGCTTTGTTGCTGTGGCCATTTTGCTCAAGACTGAAGAGAAGTTTTGCAAAAACTAAACTGGTAGGTTTGGTGAATTGTGGTTTTGATCCCCATTTCCCTATTTATAACATTTGAAGAGACATTATTACTCTAAGAAGAAATAACAGAGAACTGTAGAAGCTTCTCATAAAGTCATCAGACGGTAGCTTGGAAAACGTGTACAAATTGTATGTAAAAGTCATTTTTTTACTCATATTATATAAGCTTCACTATCAGAAGTTAAATGTGTAGCTTGTGATATATACTTCAAATTGCTTTACATAAATAACTGAGTAAAAAATCAGATGGCCAGAAGAAACTTGTGTGTATAGCTAGAAGACCATGCAAGAGAAATGAAAGGTCCAATTTAATTACAATACACAAAAACATGAACGCAGACAAAAGAGAAAATGGTGGTTTTACTGTTTTTGCAGGTCAGTGTGATTCAGGTCGGCATGGACCCACGTAATGAGGCGCGTGATTAGATTCCCCAGCCCACTGTATATGGAAGCTTGAATGAGGTCACCTAGATGACATAACTCTGCTACGTCACACTCTCTGATGATTCGCATGATTAAGAGCAGATTTAATACAGAATTGAGGCAATAATTAATACTTGTTTCTGTGGACTTCATGGGGATCCTCATCACTTCCAGATAGGAGTGAATTAGATTTAGATTTCAACTTCGACTTGTTCTCATATCATATCATGAAGTCAATGTTTTGGTTTGCTGTCAAGAAATGTTCGGCAGAAAAGGTTGAATTCACTGTCTCATCTCATGATTTTGTTTTGACGATATAAATCAAGAACACGCAACAATAATTTAACAATTCCATTACGGAGGGGGAAGTCTTCAATCGTATATTTCATTGTTGAATGAATTATCCTTTAAAGGTGTATTTGATTGTTGAATGATTGTCCTTGAAAGTTTGCTGGGATGTGTACGACGTTGACACTTGGCAGATCTAGCATGAGGTAATCAGAGTGACATCAGTGTAGGAAACGTCATTCTTTACGATCTGCATGATGTGACACGAATGTCTTATTCTAGGGATTCAGCTTTCACTTGCCCACATCCCCAGCACTCAATATCTTGGTTTCATTTAACATCCATCAGAAAAATTAATAAATAAACTAGGCAAGTCTTTCTTAATTTGGGGTATCACACATTGAAGCTAAGATGAGAGGAGCCACCAAATTAGATGACGTGATTGTTTTGGTTTTAAACTAAAGTGGGAAGACCTCATGGGAGATTGGTTGATGGGTTGGTTTGGTTATACAATTACACAACTTCTTTTTTGTTTCTTTTTTTTTCACGGAAAATTCCATCATAATTTATTAAATCTTATTTCTTTAGAAATACTATACCATTGAAAAGAGCAAATCAAATACAGAACTTCGAGTGCAAAAGTGAATGTCTTTTTTTATCACTTAACTAAAGGCCCCTTGCAACTTTGTTTTAATTATACATTGACCGATCGGAGTATAATATTCCCTGTCAGATGAAATCTGCCACTCGATTTGCATGATGTAATCAGAGTAGTATCACTATACCAACGTCATTAGCTACAAACCAACCCTCAGAATGAGGGAGGTTTTAAAGTAGACAAATGAATAAGACAGTTTTTGTACCAAACAAAAAATAAGATAAGTCTTTCTTAATCTTAGGCTACCGACACCAAGATGAAGAACTAGATGATGTAAACCGCAAGGAGGTTTCATCACTTTCTTCATGTCAGAGACGTCGTCTGCGAGTAAAATCTGCAAGTTTGGTCTCTCCCTTGTATGTGCTTTTATGCCTTCTGGGCTTCAATTGTTTTGGGATTTTCTCATTCTGTTGCCTTCATGGGCTTTTTACATAATCCACTTCTGACCCAAAAAGAAAAATCTAAATGCAGCCATATATTTTGCCACAAAATCCACTGCTATATTTCTAAAGCATGTATACGCTGCCCTCTACTATAACAGGGTAGAGTATCTAAATCAAGATGCAGTAGGAGAAGTGGCACACAGGAAGAGTCTCAAATCTCCATGGCTAAACTTCAAGTACAAAAATTAGCAAGCATAATGAATTAAACATCTGTTCCAATGAAAGTATTATCTTCGAGATAGAATACAAAACACAATCTCTACTTGCATTTGTAGTTTCTTTTAACTTTTGCAACTTCGACTTTCTTCAAAGAAAACAATTTAATCCCCAAAATTTCATTGTGGGGATGCACTAAAGAGAGCTTTACTGATGATGCCAGTGGCCTCAATATAGCGATCCATACATCTAGAGATGCAGCTACTCTCACTCCCACCTAGGCTGGATCCTGGTTTCGTGATGCACTTGTCGAAGCACTTTGACCTCAGGGTCTGCGTGACAAATGAGAAACGGGTGAGAAGAACAGTCAGAAAAGAAAAGAGGTATTCGCATATACAGAAAACAACAGAAAAGTGAAATCAAAAAGCTAAAAAACTTGGAGATTTTCCTTTGAAATTCAACAAAGTAATGACTAACACCGCCTGTAAGTTTGAGTACATAATACCATATAATGGCATCACAATGTTGAAACTTAAGAGCTGAAAGGGCCTCATCTCTAAGCATATGCAGACATGGAGATATCTGAAATATCAGTATGAATACCCGCTACATTCGTCTAAGCTATCTATGTAGGGATACATTCACATGCAGTTTGGTAGGGCGATTTCCCCAACTCAGATTCTTAGTAACTTCATGCTTCATAAACATTTTGGAAATTTTCCCAAGGCAACTTCCCAAGAAGATATAACTCATAAACATATCGGAATATGTCATAGCCTAGGCTTGACAAACACAAGAAAAACCAAAGGAAAAAGAAAGGAATATAGGCATGATGACTAGTATTTGATTTGTTGAAGAAACAACAAACTCTAACTGGTCTAACTTCTAACAAATAGGAATCAGAAGAAAAGATAGACGCAGTTCTATTTGATCATTAAAGAATATTAAAAGAATAAACTTTTATACCTTAATACCTCTATAAGTTCAAAATAGGCTTCACACATACACAGAACATGCATGAATATGTATTTGCAGACTCAAATAGTTTACCCAACAAACAAAAGAAGGGTAGGCATTCTATTGCAAGTCTTAAACAAGTGATCCATGGGAACTCACTGGCATTAAAAGAACAATCTTTTATACCTTGATAAATATTTGAAGTTCAATATAAATTTCACAAACACAGAAAAAAAATATGAACTGATATTGCATACTAAAATTATTGAACCATCAAACAAACAAAGGCACGGCATTCTATTACAAGACTTAAACAAGTGAACCAGAAATCAACAAATTTATACTCAACTCCAAGATTGCATATTTACATATACAAAATAAACCCAATATGGTGATGAATATAAGAAACCCATAATAGAAAGAGATAGAGAGATTTACCTCCAAGAACTCCTCGGCATAAGCCTGAGCAAGTTGGTTCTTAAGCTGGTCCTTGAAAGCGTCAGGGTTGAATTGGGTTGCAGAAGATCCACTTGATGGTGATGAAAACGAATCCATTGCTGATTGTCTCTCTTTCTAAACAACTCTTCTCTTCTCCCCTCCGGCCTCCACAACCCACAGAGACAACAACTGTATCTCTCTTCTAAAACCCTACACAACTCCTACTGCTGCTATTGCCTCTATTTTGACTTCTCACCAAATTTTGTGAGGCAGTGAATGAAAACACACCGCTTTGGAGTTTGGCCCATATTTGATTGCTTCTGCTTCAAGGCCCAATCATCCTTGCTACCCTAGTTGGGCTAAGTTTGAATTCGGTATGTCCATCTGGGACTCATTGGATATGCAAATTTACATCGCATATAAGGTCTGTTGTTAGCCGAATATTCTTTTTCTTTGGACACCCAATTTTCTTGTTTTTCTTTTTTCTTTTCCAACTGAAAAAAGGGAGAATGATGATACTATGATTTTTTTTATACAAGCGATATTGAGAGAGTGAGAATTTGAACACATAATCTCAGATACAGAAATAACACCTCTAGACTACTTGAATTACAAGTCTCTTACGAAGTTACGGGAGATGAGACTTTGAGTGTCCACAAAATCCCTCATTTTCTTTTCTACCCACCATATGTGTATTTCCCAACTGTCTGGCTATGATGGGTTTGGGATTTTTTGTTTAGGCCCAGCCCATACAATCCTTTTCTTTTAAGTGATGTATATCCAATCCAATCGGTCATAAAACTTCATGCACCAGTAGTTGAGGAAGATTATACCTCACGGATCCTGTGTACATTTTGATATACTTGACATTAAGAGGCATCATTCAAAACCTAATGTACAAAATTCATCAAATATTTAACAAATGATCCCGTATCTATCTGTCTTAATACTATTTAAGATTGCTGCTCGATCCACCTTTCACCTGTTTCAGCATTTCGAGCTGTATTTCAGATGCAGACAAATGCTCATATATATCGCATTAATTTCTCTCCTGATCAATATACACATGCTAATAGAGAGAGAGAGAGAGAGAGAGAGAGAGAGGAAGGTGTGATGACAATGAAGCTGCATGTAAGACATGATAGCCGCCAACTGGAGGGTAGAGTGTAGCGTGCTTGCCTGCTTGCTTGGTGGTCCATTCAAGTTTCTCATCACAGGCGTACGTGGTCCTAATTATCTTTCACTCCACAACAACATGCATCAAAACATATACTACCATCCATCCGATCGATGAATTCATTTATGTACCATTAGATTTCAATTTAATTTCGTTATAATTAATTACTTTATGCACACAATATACAACATATAGTCAATAAGAGAAAAACGTACGTGAATTAGGTGAGTTAGTCAAGACTGTGAGCTGACCCCCTTGCTTTCGAGTTTAATATCCTTCTCTCCGTATATTAAAGTAGTTTAGAATACCCTTCTGTAAAAAATGGGGGTGGAAACATGAGAGAGAGAGGGAGAGAGAGAGCTTCGTATGCACGCATATGATACATATAGTCAGGTCACTGTTTGAACATGAAGGGAACATTAAAGTCATGTCAATAATATATTTGTGCGCCACCAACGTTTCT